TAAAACTTTCTAGTGCCTCTAAAGCAGCATCGGTACTATATTTTCCTTGTTTCCTTCGTCTTTCTGTCTGGTTTTAAACGGAACTTAATAAGCCTGTAGCCCTGCGCCTTTATATACTTTCTAAGCACTTCCTTAGCTTTATCTAGCGTATAGTAGAACCGTGGCGGTGGTGGTTTAAGGGCTATAGTAAGTGTATTAAGGAAGTTAAGGATTAGGATATAATGCTTTATAGCCACGCCGCACTTGGAAAGAGTATTTAGAATTAGTAAGAAACGTAAGCGAGCGAATCGGAGGCCCCGGAGCACTCCTCCGGACCAATTAGAAGATTAGACGTAAGAAGGGTGTATACGGAGTAGAAAAGGGGTGTACACCGAGTAAATATAGGGTGTATATTTAGCAGCGCCTATTAAAAGAGCTAAAGAAATACTATATAAAAATATACTTATTAAAGCCCGGGTTAAAAAGCTTAAAAAGCAACTAGTAGAAATAACTAAGTATAAAGGTTATAAAAGAAAGCAAATCCAGACTAGCAGTATAATTATCACGGTCTCGGGCGGCAGGATTGCCCTAGCTAGCTCGGGCAGGTAGGTAGAAATAATAACTAAATTTACTACGTGTTCTATAATGCACGGCAGGCAGGCGGGTTAAATAATAAGACGTAGCTTAAGAAGCTACAAGGAGGCAGGGCGGCGGTCGGCAGGTATACTCCTGCCAAGGCTCGCATAGGCCCTTGCAACAAGGCCTCTCGCCGGGTCCTAACATCACGTGTTACGCTGTGTAGCAAGCTTTACCGTTCAAGCCGTAATAATATTAGTAGTTAGTTTTAAATTATTTAAAACTAGTAGTAATATATATTTTTATAGAGTTAATATTTATAGGCCGGCAGAACTTTAGTTTACAGCGCGCTAAACTATATATAGCTAGTATACGCGAAAAAATCTTTTAATATTTAAAAACGTAATAACTAGGTTAAATATAATAACCTAATTACCTATATTAAAGGCAGTAGAAAAGAATTTTCTAAAGTTTATTATTTTAGTAATTAGGTTATTAAAATATAATAAGCGCTATATTTCTAAGCTTCTAAAACTATTTAGAACTAAATAGAATTTTATAGAAAAATTCTTTTATAAATTAACTATATTTATAATATATAGAAGTATCTAGAAGGCGCTAGTACCTATACACCCCCTTTTTAGTAGTTGTACACCCCCCTTTCTAGTAGTTGTACACCCCCTAAACCCCTGTCGTTTCACCGCCCTCTAATTGGCTCGGAGGCCCGGCTAGGGCCTCCGATTCGCTCGCTTAATTCGCTTACCAATTCTAAATGCTCACTCCAAATGCGGCGTGTACACAAGCAATCACCGCCTCTTCCTCCACCTCCACAATACACCTCCACAATACACTCACCATAGCCCTCCAGCCGCCACGGCTAGCGTACTACGCTACAGCGGAGGAAGCGCATATTGCTCTACAAACGCACACCTTATTGCAGGGCTACGGGTTGGCCAAATATCGTACCAAACCGGACAAGACTATAGCAAAGACGACCCGAAAAATATGGTATATGTGTACTTTTGCACGCCTTCACGTGCCTTAGAACTGTATACATGAGACTGGAAGCAAGAGAACCGGCTGTACTATAAAAGGAACTCTTACCCGACAGCCCGAAGGCATATAGATGTGGGAAACAACAGAAGCCTCTTATTTTAGCTATAAAGCTATACTTAAAACAACAGCCTTACCTGTACTACGTCGCCTTAAGCGTACAGAGGAGGTAAGAAAGGTTATTCGCGATAACCTCTCTAGTAGTGGTGCACCTGCAGCAACATATACAAAGCTGCTAAAGTAGGGGGTAAGTATTATAAAGGACAATATCAACAATAAGCGCAAATTATACAGGAAGGAACTCCTTAAAGGCCTTAGTCCCATCCAGGCACTACTCCACACGTTAGAAACGTATGGCAGCGATAGAGAGGCGGGCAAGTTCTTCTACAGCTATTCACTGGATGATGAAAACCGCGTTAATTACCTCTTCTTTGCACACCCACAGTCGATTAAGAACTAGCTTCGAGATTACCTATTGTTTTATTCCGAGAGAGAAGGACCCGAACTACAACTGGGCAGCACAACAGCTTTACAAGCTCTTCCAAGCGTATTTGCTACGCCCACGCGTTTTCTATACAGATAAAAAAGCCGCGTTGAAGAAGGCCCTAAGAGCTAAGTGGCCGGGTGTCCCGCAGCTGCTGTATATATGGCATATCGACATGAACTTCGTCACCAAGCTAGCTGAGGTCTACAAGGAGGCACCTACGTACGAGGCAGGCAGCGCACCTCCTACACCTACAACAGATAAGGAGAGAGCTGCTGTACAGAAAAAGGAACAGGACAAAACGAGTGAATTCCTTGGCCGCTGGAGCGCTCTAGTCAGGAAGGTCAATCAGGATAAGTTCGAGAGTGAGTGGAAGAAGCTACAGGAGGACTACAAGGAGAGGTGGCAGCTGATTAAGTATATGGATGATGAGTGGTGGCCGTGTAGGTGGCAGTGGGCGTACTGCTACACAAAGAGCACTCGACATTTTGGTACAGTGTAAGTATTTGCTTGTGTCCTATTTCTCAATCATTCTTCAAGCTATGCTCTTGCCCTCTTCAGCGCTGCTTGTTCTACACGACTGCAAACCCCTTGTGAAGTTTGGGCTTCAAATTCGCAC